TCTTAATTCACGTTTAAATAATATTTTAAATGATATTCGTATATGTATTCATATTATTAATGATGATCAATGTGAAGATTATCAAGCATGTTTAAATCATTTTGCTTATCAAATTATTTATCTTGCTATTGATTGTCATTGGTCTCGTTTATCTTATAAAATAAGTCTTCAACAATTTGTTAATCTACGTTCACTTTATTTACCTATGCCAACTGATCAACAAAGTTTAGAAATTACATCGAATAATCTACCATTTTTAACTAATTTAACTGTAAATGAAAATACTTTTAAATCAATTCTATTTGATTCAAATTTATTTCCACATCTTATTACATTATGTGTTCCACGCATTTATTCATCAATTTCAAACCAAATAGAATCAATGCAATCGTGTTTAACTCTTCATTCTCTTTATTTAGGTTCCTGTACAATTATTGATGTTTTAACTATTCTTCCATATTTACCAAATTTAAATTATTTAGATATTGTTTTATTACCAAATAATCAAACTATTCATCAGTCCAATGTGAAACATGATAATATATCTCATTTAAAAGTTAAACTTCGAAAACTTGATCCTGATCTTGAAATTTTATTAAAATCGATGTCTAATCTTCATCAACTCGAATTTCTATGGAATGAAGCTTATACTGGCATATGGTATAGTGGAATAAACAGTTTTAATTTTGAAAAATTTTCTGATATTCTGGAAAAAAATTCTGTATCATTAAAACGTGTTGGTATTGATATTCATATTTCAAGATGTGATGATGACATTGATTATATTCATCATGTTAATCTACAATGGTTTTCATCATTAACCAAAATAAAAATTAAAAATAATGGTTCATTTTTTATTACAACAAAAAAATTATCAACAGATGCAGAAGAAAAAATGATTACAACTTTATTACAATCAACATATATGACACAAAGAAATGCACGTATTCATCGAGTAAAAATAGATAAAGTTTAAATAAAAAAGAAGAATTTTTTTGTGTCAAAAGAAGAAGAATAAAACTACTAAAATACTTAGATATTTATTATCGACGTCAGACTACCAATTAGATCTTGTAACATAGTTTTAGCTGATGCTATAGCAAGATTTTGCATACTGGATAATACTACTACTAGTTGCATTTATTATTCATAATACATCAGAAGATAAATAGGATCTCACATTATTTGTCTTCTCTCATTTGGAGGCATAATTAATAGTGAATGGACACTCATTATTTTGATTCCATGTATAATCAGTCAATTTATCTTGTTCTAGAAAAAATATTAAATTGGAGTTTGAAAGCAGACATGTTCAATTGAAAAAATTCTTCAAATGAATATGACGTTGTTCAATTATCGAAGTCTCAGAATGAAGTTTTCTTGAATTGCTTTTCTTCTATCTGAATCCTGTTATTAGAAGCTGCTTGGCTGTGGTGTAGATATCCTCTTCACTCACATCCACAACTATATCCTCAACAGAAAAGCTATATTTTTGTAGTCTCGCCAAGAATTCTTAGTTTCAATTCATATTGGCTCTACATATAATTAGTAAACAAGGCTGATTTCAATCATTCCACACATGTAGAATGATAAAGAAAAGGAAGATAATCATTGGTAAGACCAATGCTTTTAGAACAAATCAGTCAATAGATCGTGACATTGTCACAGTGTCAAATAGAACCCGTGTTTTTAAAAAAATAGCACCTATCATTACCAGTATTTAATCTTCTCAATAGTGGAAAAATTAATCATTTTTTTTCAAATTTATTTAAATCAGTCGTTCATATTGAGGTTTAAATAGTGACGTTAGAACATATTATCGCAAGAACAAAACGTCGCAACATATTTTCAGATTAAGAAAGTACTAATCCAGAGATCAATTCAAAAAATCCCCTCCGATAACTTGGACAATTTAATCTTTATTATATTCTTCAGATAGATCAGGATCTTTGTGTGGATATAGACTTTAGATATGGATTTGGAGTGTGGCTGAAGCTGCAGACTTTGCTGTGTGCCGGTGAATATGAATGCAGACACAGGACAGGATGAATTGAAGTTCGAATTAGGAAGCCGATACCTGTGCTCAGTATCTCATTTTTAATACCAGCATGGACGTACTCACTTACACTCACACCATAGTCGATGAATCAAGTAGAATTCGAAGGAATTCACATCGATAGAATATACTGCTCAAAAAGTATAAGTTCAAAGATCCTTTCTTGTTTTTGATCGAAGCCTGTTAAGACAAATCAAACTTGAATAGAAAACAGTAACGAAACTTAATATGGATATATAAGATCAGTTCTTTATTCTCCTATTTTTCCACTTTTTTGATTTTGAAATCTGTTAAGATCTCTGTTTAATTTATCCTAAATTTCAACTTTGTCTGATACAGGTACCAAAAAAAACTAAACATTTATACAAAAGTGTTTTACTCTTTTGCAGTGAGCGAAGTCATTATAACTATGTGATTCTTGTTTAAAGCATTAGTTGACGTTCATGATTGATGTAAAAATGTTTTATTTAATGCTAATTAAGATTGAAAAGCAGAGTCTTTGAAAAACTTCCGAAAACCCCGAAAATGTCCCAAGAAACATGCCCGTAGGGTTCCAATCTCGTTTTGATAAGTTTATTAAAATTTGATCTTTTTGGAAAAAAAGCCGTATATATTCTGACAGAGAAGACTGCGACACATCTTTCTATGATAAACACTCAACCCCAGTTTTTTTTTCGAAAAAATGAGTTTTCTAAAAAAAAGGGGGGGGGGGGAAGGGTCCTTATGTAATGAAAACAACAAGTACTCATCCTGTGTTTACGAACAATAATCAGATATATAACTCTGTAGTTTTTATTTTACAATGAATCACTATGTGATTACTACATATTTCTAACAATCGAAATAGATGCACTTTTATCATTAAAGTAAATGAACACCTTTACATCCAATTTGCGTAATTCTTCTTTGAACCAAGACATGTGATAGCCAAAAGTGAATGTCTGCGAATAAACGTTGATAAGTGAGAGTTTTGGCAAATACTTTGTCAGAACTAACAATGAATCTTTTTTATAGATTGTAAATGTAAATTGTTCACTATTTGAAAATATTCTGCAAAATTGGTTGATTTCATGTGAATTATTCGATGAATTTCGAGAATAATTCGATATACCTAATTTTTTTAACCATTTTGTTCAAATATTTGCATAATTCATTATCATCGAACAATGATATTTTTGGTGCTTCTTTTAATATTTGTAATAATATTGATGGTGTTTCTAACTTACAATTAGATGAGATAGTTAAATGTTTGACATTAGATAAGTTAACAATTATTTTCAGCATTTTCATATGTTTTGTCTTCAGTAAAAAATCATGAATATCATCAAATGATGAATTTTCTAATGTCATTTGATGTCATATGAGAAAAGTAATATTGGCATTTTTCTGTTAATTCATAAGGATTGATTGTCAAATCTACTACATGATCGAATGTATTGACATGTTTTATCAACTCATTGCAATATCTATTAGTATACGATATTAATTTATATGTATCAAATATGTAAGGTATGGTATGAATCATTGCTGTATTTTCCGATAATGAATAATCAGTATACCAGTGATGCTGTTTTTGCCAAAAATCGCTTTGAAATTATTTTAACTTTCCATTACGGGCATTGTTTTCATTTTTATGAAATCATTCAAATTTGAATTTGAAAATATTCAAATAAGGTAACGAAGCAGTGATCAAATGTTGTCATTTACAAGCGTCAATTATTTGCATTTCGTTAGAAATGTCTATTGTTAAACTTTTCAGTTTGGTGTTTGTTTTAATAATAGCTTAAGGTCATCCAATTGGGTGTGGATGTGGATGTGGTGTGTGAGTGAGTGCACTTCTTTTCTTCGACAACACGCACTCCCACACCCCACACCCACACCACCCACACCCACACACCCATCCACACACCCACACCCACCCACACCCACACCCACACCCCACACCCACACCCACACCCACGCTAGTTGAATAGTGATTAGTTAAGTTTAACTATTTAAGTACTATGACACTGTCAGCAGTGTCACAGATCCAAAAAATCGGGAATGTTAGAGATCTCCAAACAAATCTGTAATGTAACAGCATTTCCATCCTACTCATATATTACACATATTTGATTATAGCTTTTATCTCTACAAAAGATGCCATATCTCTCATCAGACCTCTGTAAGGAATGTTGCATCTCTTACAGAGACGTGATGAGAGATACGATATGTCTTGATGATGTGGGGTCTCCTGAGAGGTTTCTGATAGGAAGAAAAATACAATTAAGATGTGAGAAATCAGTATTATATTTAAGTATCGTTAGCTTATTGGAGATTTGCGCGGAGATCTCGAAGATTCCCGATTTTTCATATCTGTGACACTACTCTAAATTTTTCAAGTTTTTCCCTAATTCATTTATCGAGGTATTCGCTAATTATTTCTTAATTAATTAATTATCAACTAATCAATAACAAGATGAAAGAGCAGACAATTTTACGTAAGTCTCTGGAAAAACAATTCACTGAAAAAACTTATACTGAGAGAGAATTGCATTCAGATATAACAGGTGAATGTGCCATTCTCGCTGATTTAGTCCATATATATTAGATGAAAAAATTTGTTTCTTGTTCTAATTATTTAGAATAAGAGAAACTATTTTCTGAGAACTAAAAACGCATATAATAAATTTCTTCATTAGTTTTCTCCCACTTCTTCAATTATAATCTTTATTTTTAACACGAGAAGTATACATTGAAATTGAAACGCTCTTTAAAATAACTATTTATTTGATAAAATTATTCAAGTAGTAGCAGACATATATCGATAGGAACAAGTGTGCGAACTTTTGTACTTTTTCAAACGATAAACACTGTTCCAACGTATACATGTATGAGGAAAATAGTTTTTGATATTTTCATCGATTTGATCCACTGAATCAATATACAGCGCAGCAAGTTTTGCACAATGATTTCGTGTTATATATCTTGTAAAATGGTACGTCACTCTTTTGAGTGATTGATAATCGGCATAAAGATGAAGACGAGTTGGCAACGATACATTCGTATCAAATAAAAATAATTCAAGATAATCATCATGAATTTTACTAAAATCAAGTCGAGTAAGATTCGGATATTCAATAACTGACAATATTTGATTATTGTTGCTTGACTTTATACGTTGTTTGTATTTTTGTGCCTTTTGATTCTTAATTTTTAATTCTTTCATAAATGGAAATGATTGAGCAATTTGAAGAAAAAATTTATATTCAAATGGACGTTCATCATATAATGATACTTGAGTAACACTAGTAAATAATCCACCTCGAAAATTATTTGTTAGATTTTTATAAATTTTCCATTTATATGGATATGAATAAATATGACATCGACCATATTGTTTTCCTTGGAAATGCTCAATAGAAGTAATTATTTGAGTAGTGGAAATATTTTTAAATGTATTCTGAATATGTTCATTTGATGGAAATTTAATTTTATGATGATGATTAATGATTAAACATATATTAAATGTAAATTTATATAATTGTGGCATATAAATAAGAATATCTTTCTTCAAAATATCACCATCAATAATTTTTTTATCACAATAAACTGTAATATTTAAATCAAGTTCTTCTAAATTTAACATTCGACGTAGAAGTGGCACAATTAATCCATCATAATTAAACATCTTCCTCTTACAGCACAAAGAAAAAATGCGTAAATTTGGTAATAGTTTTTGCTGAAAATGAAAACAAAAAAGAATATGAGTTCATTTCATCAAACAAAATATTAATAAAAATAACCTACCTTATGTTCAGTTTCGGCAGACCCAACAAAGATGTCCTCACAAGTAACATAAAGTTTACGAAGTTGATCAAAACGTCCATCAAGTATATAAAGGCAGTCATCCGTGCGTGACACCCTAACATGTAATTCTAATAAAGTTGAACAAATAGAAGTACTATGTGTCATACAATCATTTACAGTGTCCCGAAAAAATAAATATGGATTGATTTTTAAGCATTGTAAATTAGTACATCCGTTGAAAATTTCATTAAATATAGCTGAAGTCATAGCTCCTGTTGAAATGAGATCGTCTTCATCACTCAAATTGATGAAGAGTGATGAAATTTGATTCTTGAACATATCAGTTAAAGGACTTTCATCTAAATAAAATTTTAAAGTAAATGATAAAAAATAATTACCGATCTATTTCTATTGATTCGATTAAAATGTCTAAGATTTTTAATTCAACAATCTTTTTCTATAAAATTCTCTCATAGATTATATTGTGTATGATCAATGTTATGCTGTAGATCTCATTTATTGACTTATTTATATTATTGATTTTTTTTCTAGATTTTCTACGTATTACCTCTATTAATCTTGAAAAATTTCAGCCGAGTATATAATCAATATCTTTTTTTTTTATGGAAATCAACGATTAAATTCGTTTTCTCGTAGTAACGTTCCTATGAAAGATATTTTTTGTGTAGTACATTAAAGTGAAATCAAAAATGATTTTTTATTAGTAGATGATATTTCATTATAAATATATGTTCAAAATATAATCATTTTATATTCCAGCAACTATAAATTTCTATAGTAAAACAAAGCAAAGAAAAATCTCTTACCAGCAAGCAGAGATCTAGCTACTTTGTATTCAATGTCACATAAACCAAGGTGATTTAAATTAGGATAATTTGTAGCATAAAGAACACGTTCTATCGATGTTCGTGAAAGAAAAAGAGTTTGAATTTGATGTCCAATTTCAGGTAAAATTTTTGAACAAAATCGATCAATTATTGCATCTGGAAATGGAAAAGTAGCATCGTCGACTGGACAATATTCTAGTAAACATAAATTACGTGTAAAAATTGTATCATGTAGAATTCTATCGAATCGTTGATTAACACCCATTAAAGAATAAAGTACTTCACCATTGTACAATTTTTTAAATATATATATAAGAATTTCATCAGGTAAATCATTTAACTGAATGAATAAATCCTTCATGTTTATTTTTCTACGCATATCTACTTTTCTAAGACTATATATATATATATCAGAGTTGTAACCTGTCGAAAATTTTTAGGCTAGTTCGATCCGGTCGGTAACCAGCCGGTCTAAAAAATAATTTCAGACCGATAAAGATTGTCCAGTTTATGAAGTTTGTTCATATGATAAAAGTGATATAAAGGGCGAACTTTCATTCAAGATGCATAGAGATTTTTACCTTGGAAAAAAAACAAGCAATTTTTTAGAAAAATTTTATCAATTTTAACAAGAAAATGGAAATATGACTCATTCGAAAAAAGCCTAAGCTTGAGCGTTTGGTATCTTGTTTTTTAAGTATTTTCTTATAATTTAAATGTTTAGGTAGAAGTTAATTACAAAAAAAAGATATTTCGCAATGCAGTTTCGAACGCACATTTTAAAAGACAAAGTGTATATTGATTAACGAGATCGAATAGACTGAGAAACAGAAGAAAAAAAATGTATAGTTTTGGAAATAAAACAATTTGGTTAATTTGATAAAGGCATAAAATCTTGGTATAAGCAAAGTTTTTCTGAAAAATCTGTATGTTGATAAAATATATTTCAAATGGTAAAAACTGGCTGGTGGAACCGCTTCAACCGAACCGGTTACAACTCTCGTGTATATTTGTTGTATTCATTAATTTTAATTCACTGATATCGTCTATGAAAACAATAATATTCTTTTCAATTATCTTATTAGATGCTCAATAAATATAATGAAAAAGCTTGTTAGCGCAGCCCCTTTGGGGCTGAAATGTGGAACTCACATATCTTCTTTACTTTCACTCTGCTGATGGCAACATATATAATGTTTAAATTCTCTCAGAGACGATAATTCTTTTCTAATGATAATTGATTGTTAAGAAATGTTGTCGTTTTTCACTTATATACTTCGAGTAGAATCTTTTTTTGTGAAGTTGCTATGGTCTGTAAGGGGGGACTGTCTGTAGTGAGGGGGAGGGGGTATGTATGTAATGTTCTTTTTGATTGCTATGTGTCTGTAATGAGGAGGGGGGAGCCGCAAAAACTTGACCTTAAAACTTATACTCACTATTTTCTTCGAAAATATGTGTGAGTTCCACAAAATAGCATGATTTTCAATTATCTTATTAGATGCTAAATAAATATAATGAAAAATAGCATGGTTTTTTTCTTTCTCTTTGTTATTGCTATTATTATTGAATAGCTTTTAAAATGATATATGATGGAAA